GACAATTGTTAGTATAATAGTCCCAGATAAAACCAGCAGCTTGATATTTGACGTTAACAAAAACAGGGGCTGATTTGCATCCTTTCTTCAAAGTTCTAAGTACCGGAAAAGGACCATGAAAGTGAAAATTTGGCATTTTGGTTATCTGAAATTTGACAGTGTTAATAATCTGATTATTTTTGTTCATTCATTCTGGATTTGACCATAAACATTTGCAGTTTTAGGTACTGTACCGGCTATTAACTTTAAATGGTCTCAGAAAGACGCGGGGTTATGTCTGTGTTATATCTGTATACTATGTTTATGTTTAGTTTAATTTCCATGTAGGAGCTGGAGTTAATAGATTTTACAGAAAACGGGACCTTCTTATGAAACCTTTACTTGGACCAAAGAACCATGATTCAAAACACCCTATACATTTAACATAGTACCTGAGAAACTGACCAAATCATGAAAACTCAAGTTCAGATAAATCCTGTCAGACGGACGTGAACACTTTAAAATCATTTTAGTATATGATTATTGCTTATAGTGTGAGAGAAACAAAAAATACGACGATTACTGAACCATGAACACAAGGTCAAATTCAGACCATAAGGCAAATGTAAAACAGATATTGATTATCAAGCTATTTTATCTGCTGAAATATGAAGCTGTATCAGTGGCTGCCATGGGATTAGCATCCACATGTATTGTTATACGATCTTATACATGTACGTCTCAGCAGAGACAAAAAACACATACTAGATAACCAAAAGACAATTCAGCCCAAGTTTGATTGATATTGGTGTGTTTTTAGAGACGTTTGAAAAAAATGTACGACAATGCCATATGGACAACAATGACAGAGGCAAAGTGATGGCAATAACTCACATGGGCTATATGGCTAGGTGAAATGAAAAAAAGTTGGTGTGAAATAACAATATTATCATATTCCTTCAAGTGGAATCGAACTTCCACAATATTGGGATAAAAAGGAAGACCATCTATCACTGAATGTTTATCACACCAAATTAAAAATGTCTAAAGTTAGCTCTTGAAAGACTTTATTTTTGATAATTTAGGGATTTTTTTATATTTAGAAAAAAATTAAAGAGTGAGACTCATCAACTAAGAAAAATCTTCAGATTCCAAAGATCTAACATTTTGTATGGGATGTCCATTATCAAGAATAGCTGCTTTAAAACGCAATATTGAAATCATATGCACATTCCTGAAGTTTGCAAAAATGACTTGAATATTATCAGCTTTTTTGTTGTTATTGTTTGCAAATCTTTAAAAGCCGACAACTCAGAATAAAAATTTCCCTTTTTTCAGCCATTCATTTCATCACTTTTAAACCTTTTTCACAAAAATCTTCCTGAAATGTAGATTTCAGAAAACTTCCATTTGCAATTTTCATTTAATATCTATTTCCAAGGGGCCTCTGTTGCACTCCTGTAAAAATAGTTGGACCTTATAAAATAATATAACGCTAATATAATTTGAATGAATTTTCTTTAATTAACATTTCTAACGTATAACTTTGTCAATATAATGCTTAGCTGAGCGCATCTTGATACGACCGCAGAGGTAGAACCCTGAACAGTTGGGGCAAGTTTGGACACAATATTCAAGCTTGATACTGTCCGAATTTAGATTGTAATCAAATTTTTGACATAATATAGGTTTCTGACACAAAATAAATGTGGTCAAAGATCTTAAAAATTTGAAATGGGACATTTTATTTACCTAGAATGGTCTGATATCCAAAATCTAACAACATGGTTAGATTCAGCATATAAAAAACACCAAAGATTTAATTTTAGTTGAAATCAAACAATTTAAATTAATTTTGGACCCTTCAAACCTTAAAATGGACTAATTTGAAAACAGGGTCCAAAATAAAAAATCTAAATGCACAATAAGATTCAGCATATTATACAGCTGCAATAATACAGTTTTTGATGAAATCAAACAAATTTTAATTTTTGACCCTTTGGACCTCAATGTAGACCAATTTAAAAATGGGGCCCAATATCCAAAATAGTAATACAAGGTTAAAACCTCCAAAAATAAAAGACTTTAAATTAATCCCATTGAAATTGGTTAAAAGATTTGTATTTATTTTCAATTGAAGATTTCTTGCTATTGCGCAATACTGTGCTATTGCTCAATACTGTGCAATTGAAGATTTCTTGCTATTGCGCAATACTGTGCTTTTGTGCAATTGAAGATTTCTTGCTATTGCGCAATACTGTGCAATTGAAGATTTCTTGCTATTGCGCAATACTGTGCAATTGAAGATTTCTTGCTATTGCGCAATACTGTGCAATTGAAGATTTCTTGCTATTGCGCAATACTGTGCTATTGGGGAATACTGTGCTGTTGTGCAATACTGTGCAATTGAAGATTTCTTGAAACTTTTCAAAAAATTTGAAGAAAAAATTTATGAACCCCCAAATAAAATTGGAAAAAAATTATCCCCCCCAAACTTTTTGAATCCCCTCCTCGGGAGTAATTACCCCAAACTCAATCCCAGGCTTCCCTTTGTGATATGGAACCTTGTGGTACAAGTTCCAAATGTTTTTGGCCACTTTTTGGCCCCTAATTCCTAAACTTTTGGTACCATAACCCCCAATCAATCCCAACCTTCCTTTTGTGGTATTGAACCTTCTATTAAAATTTCATAGAGATCCATTCACTTAAACTAAAGTTATTGTCCGGAAACCAAATGTGTCTTCGGACGACGACGACATAGCATTATACGAACGCAAAAAATTTTTTGCGGTCGTATAAAAATAGTTGATCTGCACTGATTTTCAACTTTTTAAAGTTTTATTGCAAACAAATGAAACTTTCCGGCAGAGTCATCTATTGTTCAATCTCTGTAAACTTTTGTCAGTTATATTGTCCTACTGTATAAATACAATAGGTATTGTTCTCTGTGTAGTTGTAACTGTTTATTTCCTGGGACCTTTAAATTTCTTCTAAGAGAAATCCATCACTCATTGATTAATTTACTTGAGTGAAAAAATTATCTTCTAAAAGATGAAAATACATGTTTTAACTCACAAAACTGCAATTGATGTTGTATTTATTCAATATCAATAATATATTTTCCATCTGTTCAATGTAAAAAGTGATTCAAACATTAAAAGTTGATTTCTGACAACATTTTCAACATTGTTCCTATTGAATTTTTTTTTTTTTTTGTGTTTTACAAATAAAAACTGGAAAATGACAATGTTTAAATTAAAGCCTTGGATTTCTCTTAGAAGAAATTTAAAGGTCCCAGTGAATAAACTACACAGAGAACAACAGCTATTGTATTTATTCAATAGGACAATAGAACTGACAAAAGTTTAAAATAGATTGAACAATAGATGCCTCTGTAGAAAAGTTTCATTTGGTTCATAATAATTGAAAATAAAAAAAAAATATAAAAGGTTCTGTGCAACCCTGTCTCTCGCCTGCGATTAATGCTGTCAATGTAAAAGTGTAATGTTGACTGTAAAAAGTTAGTCCATTTATCAGTAAAATACAGAATTTAAAAAAATCAAAATTTGTTTTTAGATGGTATTTCTTGATCCTGAAGATTACCTTCTGTCCAAGTTTCAGAAAAATCTATACAGGTTTAAAAATTTATCATCTCCAAAAAAATTCATCCTAGACTGTCTGTAAAAGTTAACTAGAAAACTAAGTCCATCTATCACAAAAATACTGAAAATGAAAAAAACATATTTTCGAAAGTTTGCTTAAGACATTGTCTCTTAATCATATAAAAGTTTAATAAAATTCTATGAATTTTTAAAAAAGTAGTTGATGTGTAACAAACTTTAACCCAGACCGTACCAACATAAACCAAGCCAAACACTAGGGGATAATTCAGGTGCTCCAGAATGGTAATCTTGTGCTGCTCAGCTAAAGGCATCCATCCCCTCATGTTGATATTGGTAAGTAAAAATCCAGTGACAAGTTGCATTTGATGATGTCACAATCAAGGAAAAGAGGATGGGATTGTGGCTTTGATAAGTGAAACATATCCAGTCATCTGTGACCCAAATATTCTAATGAAAGTCAATAAAATCTTACAATAATATGTCATCAATTTAAGCATTTAATGCCCTTGGCTGAATAGCTTCCCTGTTAGCAACAACTCCCCCATCAAGAAAACCATGATTAGAATATAAGTCCTAGAATAATGTGACAGATGATGTTACTACCAGTACATTGAAATGGAAAGTTCACAATGGGAAAATTGAAATCATTTCTTTTGTTGTACAGTTCAGATCTGTCAATTTCTAGATACATGTGTACTATTGATTAATTTTGGTGAGTACCAATTTTTGAGGATATTTGATTTCATGGTTTTACAAAAGTCTGGATACAAACCTATAGAAAGTTTGTGCAATGTTGAATACTTCAATTCGTTGTTCACCTGTACTCATGAAATCCACAAAAATTTATATCCCATGAATAATTATGAATCTACAGTAAAAGTCAAGATATGAAGCAGACTTTACTTTATCCCAGCTGTTATCCTTAAATGGGAGAGATGAGAAAAAATAGTCACCAAATATTCAGTGCAGTGGCGGATCCAGGGGGGGGGGGTTCCGATTTGGAACCCCCCTTTTTTTTGGCCGATCGATGCATTTGAATGGGAACATATGGTTGGAACCCCCCTTTATCCTGGGTTGGGAACCCCCTTTTAAAAATGGCTGGATCCGCCCCTGCAGTGAGAGGACATCAGAACATTCTTCTTGAGAAGCTTCTGTAAAAAGTATGCCTCATACAAATAAGGTTACAAGTACACAATAAGAGGAACACAGTTGGTTCCCATAAGCATGTTGACTGTCTGATGGAGGTAGTAGAAAACACACAAGGACTTTTCTAAATTTGGCTAGTCTTCCTTTTTATTGTAAGAATAACTTGCTGTACAAACTCACAAGAAATTCTGGGAGTTATGAGAAGTTATGGCAGTAGACTGTTGTGTTATAATATGATAAATGCAGCAGACAATGAGTAATCAACACTTCTTTATTAACAATAAAATATGTAAAAAAATGTTATCTTGGTGGTGATTTCTACAATAAAGACACTTCCATCTAATAAAATCTGTTGCTGAGGTAACATGATTATCCAAAGAGGTAATAATCTCATCATGTGTTATGCATACACAGCGTCTGAAAATATATTAAATTAGTGTTAATACTAATTAACAACACACTGTACATTAATTAACAACAGTAAGCTATGATTGTCAGTGAGAACAAAGTGGACATAAAGTGCTATAGGGTCATTATTGCTCCTGTTTTTTATTACTTTCATGTGGCTTAATCATGTTTGACTTTGCAATACGCAAACAAAGAAAAGCTTTTTAGATAACTTACACATTTTCTAAGTTTATGCAAAATGAAATTGAAATTGAATTTTTGCCCAATAAAATTTAAAAGTGTATTTAAATGAATGGTTTCTGTTGTGCATTTTGTAATTCATCCTGTAAAGATAAATGAAAGTAGTATTAAAGTAGTAGTGTTGTATGAAGTAGTAGTGTTGTATGAAAGTAGTAGTGTTGTATGAAGTAGTAGTGTTGTATGAAGTAGTAGTGTTGTATGAAGTAGTAGTGTTGTATGAAGTAGTAGTGTTGTATGAAAGTAGTAGTGTTGTATGAAGTAGTAGTGTAGTATGAAAGTTGTAGTGTTGTATGAAGTAGTAGTGTTGTATGAAGTAGTAGTGTTGTATGAAGTAGTAGTGTTGTATGAAGTAGTAGTGTTGTATGAAGTAGTAGTGTTGTATGAAGTAGTAGTGTTGTATGAAGTAGTAGTGTTGTATGAAGTAGTAGTGTAGTATGAAAGTAGTAGTGTTGTATGAAGTAGTAGTGTAGTATGAAGTAGTAGTGTTGTATGAAGTAGTAGTGTTGTATGAAAGTTGTAGTGTTGTATGAAGTAGTAGTGTAGTATGAAAGTTGTAGTGTTGTATGAAGTAGTAGTGTAGTATGAAAGTTGTAGTGTTGTATGAAGTAGTAGTGTAGTATGAAAGTTGTAGTGTTGTATGAAGTAGTAGTGTAGTATGAAAGTTGTAGTGTTGTATGAAGTAGTAGTGTAGTATGAAGTAGTAGTATTGTATGAAGTAGTAGTGTAGTATGAAAGTTGTAGTGTTGTATGAAGTAGTAGTGTAGTATGAAAGTTGTAGTGTTGTATGAAGTAGTAGTGTTGTATGAAGTAGTAGTGTTGTATGAAGTAGTAGTGTTGTATGAAAGTAGTAGTGTTGTATGAAGTAGTAGTGTAGTATGAAGTAGTAGTGTAGTATGAAAGTTGTAGTGTTGTATGAAGTAGTAGTGTTGTATGAAGTAGTAGTGTTGTATGAAGTAGTAGTGTAGTATGAAAGTTGTAGTGTTGTATGAAGTAGTAGTGTTGTATGAAGTAGTAGTGTTGTATGAAGTAGTAGTGTAGTATGAAAGTTGTAGTGGTGTATGAAGTAGTAGTGTAGTATGAAAGTTGTAGTGTTGTATGAAGTAGTAGTGTTGTATGAAAGTAGTAGTGTTGTATGAAGTAGTAGTGTTGTATGAAGTAGTAGTGTAGTATGAAAGTTGTAGTGTTGTATGAAGTAGTAGTGTTGTATGAAGTAGTAGTGTTGTATGAAGTAGTAGTGTAGTATGAAAGTTGTAGTGTTGTATGAAGTAGTAGTGTAGTATGAAAGTTGTAGTGTTGTATGAAGTAGTAGTATGAAAGTTGTAGTGTTGTATGAAGTAGTAGTGTAGTCGAAAGTTGTAGTGTTTTATGAAGTAGTAGTGTTGTATGAAAGTAGGAGTAGGAGTAATTCATCCTGTGAAGATAAATGAAAGTAGTAGTAAGAGTAATATATCTACAAAAGCATACATCCTGAGTATGTATAAACAAATAAAATGAAGCAATACGCCAAGGCAAATTCCTCACAATTCAAAATGATGCATTTTTAATTTCGTTCTTCAAACTAGCAGAATTTTCATAAATTCTCATACAATGTAGCCATGGAATACACCCTGAAACTGTATAAAAAATCTGTAGAATGCACACTGAATATATCTTCTTATAGCAACTATGGATAATATATAATGTATTCTTAAAAAAAGACAGTAGCTGGCCCCAGCAAGTCCCCAAAAGGTTTAAGTATCAGACTTATCATAACCAATGTTTAACTTACATGGCACCAAACAAACATCAATATGGCATAACTGATACCTCATTGAAATGATATTAAATACAAACAAAGACCTTCAAGGATTTGGACAAAAAGAGAGGCAGAAGATACCAAAGGGATAGTCAAACCAGGGGCGTAGCTACCTTTTTAATGAAGTGGAATCACAAACTAAGGCCCCCAGTAGGTCCAGGGCAAAGCCCTGGTAGGGGGGCCAGGGGGGCGAAGCCCCCCGGAAGCTCTGCATATATAGCGTTTCAAAACAATCAACCAAAATAAAACTTGGACATTTTTGTTGTGGTTTTTTGGTCAACTATTTGTTTAACTTCGAGTCGAATGAAGACTTAACATTGTCGCAAACAATAAACATAAACACAATACTATATGTGGAGTTTCTTTTAGCAAAACATCATGGATACCAAATACTTGGTGGACACATTCTCATATATTTTGCTTAACATATGTATTTAGATGTTTAAAAATTTTCTGGGTAAACTCTACAAGAGAGAGATGGGAATTTCCAATTTTACGTAGTTAGGAATATTCGAAGTTGAAATTAATGAACTTTTTCAGAGTAAATGGTACTTTGATCACGATCTTTTTCATGATCTGCATTTTTAATTAGCCACCTAATTAACAAATGCATATGCATTCGACCAGTTGTATGGCAATATCTAGATGATAACAGTGAAGATACGTGTAATAAAAGTTTGGTGTATCTTTCGAACAAGAATCAGCAGTTTAGTGTCCTACTCAGACAGACAGTTCTTTTTAAAACTGAATGACCTAATAGTCCAGTAAAACGAGTTAGAATTAACAATTTATTTAAAAGGTTTTACAATCAACCATTCGTATAGCCGGCCCATATAGAAACGACTTCGAATTATCGAATCTATATAAAAGATTTTTTTTGTAAAATAAATAAAAATGTAAAACATGTACTGGAAAATGTGTACCTTTTTTTTTATAATAACAGTAGTTCCAACTTCTCATCTCCTAGTATACGGAAACTATTGATTGATTGAATGGTTATTAATGTCCGGTAGCAGATATTACATGCACACAGGACGAGATATGTTGACGTGATGTGAAAATGAACTATTCGTGTTGTCAAGACCTACATATTTAGTCAATATTGAACTAGTTCACAAGGTAACAGTCATTATTCCCGGATCGATACGAGTTGAAGAGTCTTCATTCTAGTAAGATGAGTGCTTTGGGGCGAAGCGGAAAATAATAATTTTCAAGTCTTTTTGTTAACCCTAAAGGGATTATGTTTTTTTTTGGCACTCAAAGCGAGTATACGGTATGATTGTGGTACCAACAACTATGTAGCTGGTATTTTCTAAACAATGCCCGTAATATAAAAAGTTCCTCTAAGTTTACACCAGTTGTATGTATTTATCGTACACATACATGTCTTACAGGATTAAAAATTCCGCTGCATGTGTATTCCTCTTGCTTTTATTCTTTGTGTAGTTTTTAAAATGCATGCATAGAAATACCAATTCCTATATGTTAACTGTGTCTCTCACTCTCTCTCTCTCTTTTTTTTTTTTTGTGAAACGACGTGGATGCACGTGCTGCCGTGCCTCCGGGTAGCTACGCCCCTGCAAACTCATAAGTCAAAAACAAAATGACAATTCCACGGCAAAACAAAACAACAAAAAAAACGACTACAAGACTAATATAGCAAAATATGTATAATGTTTAAACCTGCTGCATTTTTATGCACCTGTCCTAAGTCAGGAGCCTGTTGTTCAGTGTTTGTCGTTTGTTGGTGTGGTTCATAGGTGTTTCCCGTTTCTTGTTTTTCATATAGATTAGACCGTTGGTTTTCCTGTTTGAATTGTTTTACACTAGTCATTTTGGTGCCCTTTATAGCTTGCTTTTTCGGTGTGAGCCAAGGCTTCGTGTTGAAGGCTTTAGCCTATAATTGTTAACTTTTTATACATTGTGCCTTGGATGGAGAGTTGTCTCATTGGCACTCATGCCACATCTTCTTATTTCTATAGGCAGTCTAGATTGCAATCAGCATCAACTATACTGTGTTTAATGTGTTCAAATATACCAACTTTATAAATGGACATTATAACGTTTATAATATCACGTTTCATGAGATTTAAAGATTTTAAACTGCGAAAAATTTGAGTTGAATTGTATCTTAAACAAGAAGATGACTACTTTTTTTAACAAATGAATTATATGGGTATGCTAAGGGATTGCTGATTCAGTCAAATAAAAAATGGAAAGTATAGCTAGTACAAAAAAAAAAAAGACTGTTAAACTTGTTGAATTATTTATCTTTGCCTTTTTTATTATTGTATAGAAACCATTTATTCATGTACATGTATTAATATTCAAAGAAACTGCAGAGGAAATGGAGACAACTTTAAATTAATGATTAAAACATCCGTTTTACTGATAAAATGTTATACAAGGTGTGTTTATGACAAATACTTTACCTGAGACAGGTAATATGTTAGGTATTTTACACCTTTATAACTTCTAATACAGATGCAGCATTTATTGTTCACATTTTTTCTTAAATTTTTGTACTATATTATTATACATATTTCAAATATTTAATGAAAAACTCACATTTAACTTGTAAACATAAACTTTGTTTATTTTGTTTATTTAAAAGAAACAATATACATTTACTATCTAATATTAAATACAGGTACTTTAAGTTACATAATGGTCAATGAAGAGACAACATTTAAAAGGTCAATAGAAATCTTACTCTGGTGTTCATCAAGTTTACAATCTATATAATTGTAAACTATATAACGCTGTAATTTGTACTTTGAGCTTTAAGCATAAAATTTACTTTGTAATAACAAAATATAATATTTAGTGAGAACTAATCTTCATGATCTTACAACACTACCCAGAGGGCCTTACAGCCATTGACCGAATTAGGTCAAAATTCACAAGTACTCTGTACATCAAAAATTTACTCAGATGTAACAAATAACATGTTGAAGAAAGACAGGGTTATAAA